TAATAACATAGAGAGTAGAAAGCACAAAAACAGTCCAACTAAAAATGACGTCTCATGCTGAGTGGAAAAGCCACAGAAAAAAAAAATGACGCATTTAAAAGATGTCCGCAGACCTGAGGCATCCAAGGACCTCCGAGAATAACAAATAGAGTAGAAAGCACAAAAACAGTCCAACTCAAAATCAAGTCTCATGCTGAGTCGAAAAGCCACAGAAAAAAAATGACGGGTTGAAAGATGTCCGCAGACCTGAGGCATCCAAGGACCTCCGAGAGGTCAGGTGGCGCGAGGTCATTTCAAGATTTGAAAACAAATAACAGGATCTTCAAAAGAACTCTAAAATGTAGCCAGTGAAGGGATTCCAGAACAGGAGTGATGTGCTCCCTCTTACGAGTACCAGTCAAGAGGCAAGCGGCAGCATTCTGGACCAACTGGAGATGCTTGATGGAGGATCAGCTGACTCCAAAGTCAAGTGCGTTCCAGTCATTTAACCGAAATGTGACAAGGGCATGAAAGACAGTTTCAAAGTGCTCTTGAGAAAGGAGAGGCTTGACTGGATTTGACAATGGCACCAGTATGTTGGTCCTATTTCAAATCACTGTCCAGTTTAGGACCCAAGTTTGAGACTGTTGGGTTAAGATCAGGAACCAGGAGGGTCCCAAGTCCGGAGGATGGGCTGTAGCAGGGCCACTTGGACCAAACACCATTCTGAAATCTTTGGTGAGCTATCACTCGCGGACGCAATTTGACCTTTTGTCTCTTGGTCCCTTTTTGCAGATTAACATTGACCATGAAACCCGCGACATCACCAAAGCCAACATGCACTCGCCGTCACCGTGCTGCTTCGACCAGGCGCAGCACAAGATCTACATGCTCATGGCCAAAGACTGCTACCCGCGCTTCCTGCGCTCACCGGCCTTCAGGGATCTCGTCAGTGAAGCCAAGCCAAGCGGCAAGCCGCCAAAAGAGCCCCGGCTGGGGAAGAAGGCGTGAAAGGAAGCCGTGCTGACGGTCAAAGGCGTGTCCTCTCATGAAAGACCTCGCACTCTGAAAGCTTGAAAAGAAAGAAAACGTGGGATTCCTGTCCCCCCCCCAACTGGAGTTTCAATGAAAAGCGGTCCGGTGGTCAAGAAAGGTGGTTCGGAAAGTCACAAAAACAAAAAAGGGGCCACCGCGGAAGCTTGTGAGAAATGGAATCGCACTTTTTTAAGTTTGCCTCTACTGAAAAGGATAAAATATAACTGGTGTCGGTGTCGAGGCAAACGTGTTTGTAACGTCTATGTCAAAGTCCAGCACTGTTTGTGACGAAATCATTTTTTTGTAGATTTTTGTATTTATGTGGCTGTATTTTGTGTGTTTTTACAAAAGAAAGGCTATAATCATGTGCAATATAATATATTGAGATATGAAGGTTGTATTTTTACACAGCAGCAAATAAAGTTGACATGCTCAATTCTGTTGTCATCGTCCATGCTCCACCCGCACAATTCCGACCAAGAAGAGCCGCGTGAGTCAGGGGCACGACATATAGGTGCCCTGTGACTATACACTGCCCCAAAGTCAGCTGGGATAGGCTCCACCCACAATCCCAATGAGGATATGCCCTATAGAAAACGGATGGATGATAATGTTTCCTCAAACAAAGGCATACTTTAGAGAGTCTATTTTAATTTTTTTACCTGTGTCTTAATAAGCACTATCAGTGAAACAAAATGCTAATACATTCATTTGGTGTGAAAATGTGCCTAATATTGTGGCTGTTCTCACACAAACTGGAGTGCACTTGACTTTGGAGTCAGCTAATCCTCCATCAAGCGTCTCCAGTTGGTCCGCAATGCTGCCACTCGCCTCTTGACTGGTACTCGTAAGAGGGAGCGCATCACTCCTACTCTGGCATCCCTTCACTGGCTCCCGAAACATTTTGGAGTTCTTTTGAACATCCTGTCATTTGTTTTGTGACGGTTTTTGTGCTTTCTACTCTCTTTGTTATGACTTTACTGTTTGTTGTCGTAAGAATTGTTTTGGCTCCATGCACAGCACTTTGGATTCAGCGGTGGTCGTTTTCAAGCGCTCCCCAAATGCAGTTGAGTTGCGCTGAGAAACAACTGTTGTGTCGTTTTTGATTCCTCCGCTCCTCCAGCTGACAAGGTTCAAACATCCATCAACAGTGACGGGTCTATAAATAAGATCCAACACAGTATGTACAGTAAGTCTCACCTGAGACCGTGTCCCATCTAAGTGCATAATGTGATGCTATTAATACGTGTGCGTATGTTCTCATTCCATGGTAGCCAGCATCATACGTTGTGTTTAGTTGCTGCACCTTGGAAACCGTGTGAATAGGAATTACTTCAGCAAACAGGAGGGACCGCGAGAAAAGTGACAGCATGAACGTAACAGAGCGAGCTGTAAAACTTTATTAGGAGCGGAGCAACTGTTTGCACTTGTCATCAACTACAGGTCATAAATTGCAAAAAAAAAAAAAAAAAAAGGTCCAACCAACAACTTAAAATTCAAAGCTGGGCAAATGTTGGTTATCCAATTTGTTGTTGCGTTTGACATTGTTGCGCCACGTGATTTATTTGATCCAAATCTGCACGGGGGGCTGAATGTCTTATTTTGTGTATTCAGATGTCATGCCATGGGAGGCTGTGTTGGGCAGGAACAGCTGGCTCACCGGCCCGTTGCATAATGAAACACTTCGAAAGCTGCTACACTCGTGCGTACGATTTCCACGCCGGCATTTTGTCTTCATGGCAGTATGGCAAGGAGGTTTCATTCCCGGAGATGACTTTGGATTGCCTTCTTTGGCCCTTCACCTGCGTCTGTGATCAGTCTTGCCTTAGGCAGCTGGCGTAACATGCCTTGCTCAAGAGCATCTCAGCCTCGATAAAGGCGTACAGAGGGAAGGAAAGGCAGCTATCGGTGAACCCGCTTGGAGCAAAATTGCACCTGGCTGGCTGTGCGCTCCCAGGAATCGGAACACGCCTCAAATGGCTTGGGAGCAGAAAAACAATTGTTTGGGGAAATAGTTGCCACTGATGAATTGTGTCGCATCAGGCAGCATGGTGGGCAAATGGTTAAGCGTGTCTGTCTTACAGCTGAGGTGTCCCAGGTTTGAATCTCATCTGAGGCCCTTGCTGAGTGGTGAACTACAATGGTTGAACTAAAACAAACTACAGTGATCGAGAATGTCCCTGAGGTTTTCGTGTTTTGGTGTACGTCCGTCCAGAAGCGCAGTCCAATGGCCTTTTTCAGAATTGTAGCTTTTACCGGTGACCTTTTTTGTTGTTGTTGTTGTTTTTGTTTTGTTTTGTTATGTTTTTTTTTTTGTTTTTTTTTTTTTAATCTTGCACTCGACAAACACTCCATATCATCGAGACACCTCAGATTCGCTTCGGATGACTTGTCTTTCAGGGAAATAGTTCATGATGCTCCTGTTTTCTGTATGAACGTCAGGGGGCAGTAAAAAGCAGCAAATGGACATGACAACCAAGTTTGGCATTTGGTGGAAACGTCGCAGGACATTTGATTTCACACTTACCTAAACACCCCCCCCCCCACACACACACACACACATATACACGTTTTCAAATAAATAGTGTGAAGACAAGAGCTCAAAAGATGAGCAAAGACTGAAAACAATGAAGTATCGATTTGTGGAGACACAGCATTAAACTCTTTTTCACCGTCTCGATTCTCTGGATTATTGGGCCCACGGCGACATTCATTGGAGAGCAGCACAAAAAAAAATGATGTAAAGCTTGCCTCAAAAGTCATGATTTATGTTTTTTTTTTTTTTTTAAATCAAATAAATGTCGGGTGCGTTTCCCATAAATGTTTGTCTCCTGTAAATGGAGACAGTCTTGTGCTTTTGTTATGTTCTTGCACCCTCTGGTGGTCAAGATGTGATGTTGCACTACTATTGAGTGACCGTGGCGAAAGTCCTCTTCAGCGTAACCCAAAGTATTGTCCATATGTTTCATTCCCAATTGATTTCATCTTTTTTTCTTCTTCTCGGTATATTTGGTAGAATCGTGATCATGTTTAATGCAATCCAGAGATCAGCGTGATATTTGTGGGCAGCAGTCGATGTTTTTGAACTAAATTTCCGGTTCTTCTTCATCCAGGTCGACGTGGGAATGATCTCTTCTCAATTTACTCATAAACATATATCCTCGGGCTGAAATATAGCTAAATGTATTATGCCACAAGACACATAATGGACACTTCAGTCATTTTGTTGGGGGGTGGGAGGTGGGCGGGCGGTATACAGTAATTGTAACTCTCACGTTCGATTTAATTTGGGTGTTTTTCATTTTTTGTTTTTCTATGCTCTACATTTTTGTCAAAAAGCCCAAAGTGGAGTTTTGGCCTATGTGGAGGTGGAAGGTTGATGACCACTGTCCACATGACATCCTTACAGAATGCCGTGAATACATTTCTCACAAATGATGACGTCGGATGAGACATTCCACGAGGCATTTGTCTCATGTTTTACCAAGAGAGCACGAAGCATGACGCTCGTGAGATTCTGAGGCCAAAGTCCAAAGAGATCAAAAGACAGAAAAGCCGCAGTCATGCCAGTGTGCCCTGTTGATTATTTCGATGCTTTGAACTTTTAATTTTTGGATCCTCGCATTAAAACGCACCAGAATGTCAACCCTAAACTACAAGACCATGGGATTAGTCTGTCTGTCTGTCTGAAATGTCAGTGGAACTTTTTGGGCGTGGGACATCAGCTTTATGTAAGCAAACTGCAAATTGAAACTAATTTCACTTGATATCTAAAACAGAAGTGATGGTGTTTGGTCCCAGTGACCCTTGTACATCCCATCCTGTGAACTTGGACCCTCCTGGCTCCTTGTCTTAAACCAGCAGTCTCCAACTTGGGTCCGAAACTGAACAGTGATTTGAAATTGGAGCGGCAAATTGGTGCCGTTGTCAAATCCGGCTTCTTTCATCTTTGGCAGGTGGCGATAGTCAAGCCTTTGCTTTCTCAAGGGCACTTTGAAACAGTCCTTCATGCCTTCATCACCTCTCGCTTTGGTCGGTCGGTGTGCCTCCTATTGTGGCTGTTCTCAAAGAAACTGGAACACACTTGACTTTGGAGTCAGCTAATCCTCCATGAAGCGTCTCCAGTTGGTCCAGAATGCTGCCGCTCACCTCTTGACTGGTACTCATAAGAGGGAGCTTTTCTTTTGCCGCTCCCTCTCTTTAGAATGAACGTTCGGCAGGCCCCCTCGCTGCCCATCTTTCAAACAAAATTTTCATGATTTGGCTTTTGACTCAGCATGAGAGTTGATTTTTAGTTGGACTGTTTTTGTGCTTCCGACTGTCTTTGGTATTAATTCATGATTTGTTTGTTGTTGTATGAATTCTTTTTTGCTCCATGTACAGCACTCTGTATCCAGCGCAGGTTGTTTTCAAGTGCTCGAGAAATACACTTGAGTCGAGACAGGGCAGACCTGTTTATGCCAATTGCAATCCATGTTCATGTCCTGTGAAAATGCCGTTTCTTTAAAAATGCACACAATAAAAATGAAATCGACAAGTTTGATTGTGCGAAGGCAGAGGATGTGACCTCAGACGAACTTTGGTTTTCTCCATGTCCCAATATTCTCTTTACACTTGGGACCCACATTTGGAACTTTCCCATGCTTGGACTGTTAAATTGTTGTTATTCTCTTCTGCGCCGCGCATATGATTGAACTTGAAAGAATTTCTTGAAGATGTTGACTGCAGTGTTTTTACTCGGCTCAGCTCAGACGGAACCGCCGACGCTATTTGTGTCTGGGGCAGTGGCTGACACGAACAAAGTTGCATCTTTGAGTGTGACATTTTCCGAGCGCTTTTACTCTTATCGTTTAAGGACCGATGTCTGTCCTTTCTGGTCCTGACTTCATCAAAGCAGGCTTGTAACTTTTTTCAAGCAGTGCGGATGATGGCACGATGTCAAACAAGAGAGGGAAATGTTGAGCTCTGAGCCGTTTGGCGTCTTTGACGGCAGAAAACAAGGAACCGGACCTGGTGCGCGCTGGGCTAAGAATCCCCACTTGGGGTGGTCCCCGGCGCACATCTCTGGTGTGAACATGCCGAGCTTCGCAAGTAGCGTTGAAGCTCCAGACTGCGTGTCTGCTAAATGCAAGATCATGGAGGTCGGTGTCGTTCCAGTTGCGTAACAGGAGCCACAAAGTCAACTCCGCCTTTGTATTTCAAACTGACCTCTGATGGAAAATATTCTCGGAGTAAAGGAATTCAATGTACTTTTCTAAGATTAGGATGATAACTAATACTTCTTGTACCTTCGTGTTTTCTCTTCCCTGTTTAGGTCTTGAAGTGGCAACAGTGAAAGCTGTCATATTTCTGAAGCAAACAGGAGTTGGAGATGTTTCCCGTCCCATGTGTAAGAAGGAGTTTTATCTGAGGAGCCCTTGCAAATAAACATCTGAATG